ACACACACACACACACACGAGGCCAGTTCATGTGTTTGATTTCAGACGCTGCAGTAAGTGAAAGTGTTTCACAGACAGAAGAACGTCAGTCAATCAGTCTGCTGATGCTGGAGCTGCTTGTGTCTTCAAACTCAACCGGTCTGTGCTCATTTCTACCGTAGTAAAAGACGAGGCCTCTGGCTACGGTTCACATTCACACCTCACATATAAACCATTAGATCTCGGCTGTATTCACACGTTTCACACATCGTTCTTTAATGAATGGAGTAGAATTTGGTGTAGTTTTTTGTGGCATTATTATCAGTAGTAGCAGCTGTAAGTAATAAAATTAAGAGGCTCACAAGAGGCTCCAGGACAACCTGAGAATTACATGAACATAATACAATTTCATGAATTACATTTTATGCATATTTCTCATTTATGTGTCCTTTTAAAAACATATTGCAGTGATGCATATTTTCAGATGATCAGGATGAAATAATTGTAGTTATTAAGCAGATGACTTTTTGAAGTGCATTGTGTTTGTTCATCGGTCCGTGTTCTCGTTCTGTTGTTGAAGGCTTGTTTGCATGAGTGATGGCAGGTGTGTTCCCATAGAGGCTCATTAGGCTGGATCAGAGCAGAAACCAGTTCTGCCGGTGTCAGTGTGTCTTCGGTCAAATCCACTCTGTTCACACTCCGTCAGATGAAGTGTGCTGACGTCGGCTGTGTGTTTGAGTTGGTCTCAGTCTGTCTGATGGAAAGCTTTCTGTCAGTGAGGGTTGAAGCAGGACAGTGAGTTTCTCTGGAGAACGTATCTCAGGTAACGTCTGGAAGCTTGACAGAGTTCTTTTTTTCCTAAATAGAGGTTTGTTTGGTTTTTGAGGGTCGTTCTGTTGCTGACGACTCGTCTCTGAACTTTTGCTTTGTCTGTAGCGTTAAGCTTGTACTTGTTTGATTTAACATTTTTTTAAAGCATCTGTGAGAAAAGTACTTATTTCAGAAACAATAGCAGTCAAATGACTTCTAATAATAATTCTAGGACGGTAGTAACATTAATGGTTTAATTGACTGAAATTATACAATATTGTTTATTATACTATAATAGTATATAACTTTTTTTTTTCAACAAAAATCTTTAAAAAATCAGTTTCAAGACATCATCTAGTCTCTGCCTGTAAATATGAATATGAAATGATTTCTGCTGCTGATATTTGATAAAGTGAATATTCTGGGATTCGCTGATGGCTGCTGTATAAAGTCGCTCCTGTTGATCTTTCAGAAAGCAGATATCATCTTCAAAGCATTGTGAAAGTGTTTTCAATATTTCAGTTTAATTTTACACAGAGTAACATGAGATCTGTGACATTCACTGTCACTTATTCTGTGCAATGAAATAAATCAGCACTGTGACAGGTGAAGACGTGCGGTTGTGTGCGATTAAATCATGACGAGTCTGTTTTTGTCGGCTCTTATGTGTGTGTTTGTGTGCAGGTATCATCTGGACATCAGTGGAAGCGCAGCAAAGCCCAAGAACAGCATGCTGAGAAGATCTTCAGACAGCAGAGGCTTCCAGAGTCCAGACGAGACGCATCTGGAGTTCCTGGAGCACAGCGGCAGCGGCTCACGCAGGTGAGGCTTGCAGCAGATGAACCTTCAGAGACTCATCGCTTCTTAAGAAGTTCAATGACTCATTTAATCAGACTCACAAAACTGTACAAGCGGAGAGACGTCAGCTCCTCACACCTTTGTGTCCTGATCTCCATCAGATCCATGAGTATAGAGGAGGAGGCTGGATCCGGCGTTCGTAATGTGAGTTTATTCTTCAGTGAGCTCCGTCCATCAACACTTACACACCATCACCTTCTGTTCTTTTGATCAGAGCTTCAAGAGCCACAACAAAACCTTCCACAAACTCTTCCCTGAGGTCCCCGAGACGGAGGATCTGGAACACGGTGAGTCTCTCCGAGATCTCTAGTTATTTCTCACAGTCTGTAATGAGAGCAAATGAAGTCTTGCGTTTCTCAGATGTGTCTCCTCTAGCGTACCAGAAGAGATCTCAATGATGTCTCAAACTGTGCTCAGCTCAGAATGTTCTGGCGAGGTTCTCTCAAAGTGACGAACAAACGTTCTTCCAGGAGCATTAATAAAACATTCGTTCTGAGTTATCATGATGCTCTCAAAATGTCCACAGAATCGTTCGTGGAAAGTGTTTTAGTTCAAAAGTAACGTTCTGGTAATGTTTGAAAATTATGAAATTAAATATTCCCTTAACATTCAGAAATAATGCTTCCATAGCTTTAGAAAAACGCTCTTAGAAGCGATCTCAAACGTTTCTCTTTATAGCTCTATATTCTCACTGAACGACTGACACTATTGTTTTCTGTTGAGCTGAAATCGAGTTTGTTTTATACTTGATGAAGTTTACAATATTAACACCGTTGTTTTCATGTTTATTGTGAAGCTGCTTTGAAACGACACTGTAAAACGTGACATGATCAATAAGTCATGCTAGCATGTTTTTCCACTACTTTAACTGAAAATAATCTAAAGGTATATGAGATTCAACTCAGTTTTGTACAGATGTATACAGCCAGTTTGATGACACATTGAAGTAGGTGGAAACTGTATAAAGCTCTATAGAAGTGAAGCAGGACTCTGATGTTATCGTGCTGTTTCAGTGCACACCTGCGCCCTGCAGAAGGAGGTGATTTACCACGGTAAGATGTACCTGTCCAGTCAACACATCTGCTTCCACTCGTCTGTGCTGCTGAAGGACACCAAGGTGAGACGATCTGAGCCTCTGTTCACGAATAAATCACTGAAGAACAGTTACAGTGACCAAGTGACTGTGCATTCTAATCTTACTACTTTTATTTTACCAACTGCTGCGGAGATATTGAGTTATATTCTGAAATCTAAAACTACCACTTGTCAGCTTGATCCACTGCTTGGTTAAAGACTGTCTACCATCTCTGTCTCCATTAATTACTAAAATTATTCACTCTTCACTTGTTTCTGGTTCTGTACCTTCTCTTCTTAAAACTGCTATTATTACCCCTATTCTAAAGAAATCAGGGACTGATCCATACATTTTTGAAAATTATCGACCAATTTCTAATTTGCCATTCATTACTAAAATCTTGGAAAAATGTGTTGCATCTCAAGTTCACAATCATCTCTCCAATAATACATTGTTTGAGCAATTCCAATCCGGTTTTCATCCTTATCATAGTACAGAGACTGCTCTTGTCAAAATTACTAATGATTTGTTATTGGCAGCTGATTCTGGTTTGTTAACAATACTTGTCCTTCTTGACCTGAGTGCGGCCTTTGACACGATCTCGCACAAGATACTCCTGGACAGGTTAGTTTCAATAGGGATTACTGGCACCCCACTTTCCTGGTTTAGGTCTTATCTTATCGGTCGCACTCAGTATGTTCAAATTAAAAATTTTAAATCAAGACCATCTACAGGTACTGATGGTGTCCCTCAGGGTTCTGTTTTGGGCCCACTCTTATTCATCATCTATTTACTTCCTCTTGGCTATATTCTCAGGAAATATGGTATCCATTTTCACTGCTATGCCGACGACACCCAGCTCTACCTGTCTTCTAAACCCTCTAGTTCTTTTCCTCCACCTTCCTTGACTAGATGTTTAGCTGAAATTAAAGACTGGCTTTCAGCCAACTTTCTAAAACTCAACAGTGATAAAACTGAGGTCTTACTTATCGGTACAAAATCTACTTTGACTAAATCTGATTGTTTTACAGTGGATATCGATAATAATGCAATTTGTCCTTCTCAGCAGGTTAGGAGTCTGGGTGTCATTCTGGATAGCACACTAACTTTTGAAGCTCATGTCAATAATATTACGCATTGTAAGCCTTTATTGTATTCATGATGTATGCAGTTGTGCTGTTGAATTTTGTAATGCTGGCAGGACTTGTTTATTGATTGTTATTGTTTTTACTAGTTTGCTTGCTGTAAGGTGACCTTGGGTGTTTAGAAAGGCGCCATTAAATAAAATGAATTATTATTATTATTATTATTACAGCGTGTAAAGAGATGACAGGACATTTATTATGAAGTGTTTGTGTTCCTGTAGGTGATGATCCACATGTCCAGCGTTCAGAGCATAAAGAAGAAACACACAGCTAAGATCGTTCCCAACGCCATCGCCGTCATCACCACAGACGGACACAAGGTATCACTCACTCAATCAGAGATGCTTCATGAGTCGCTCCACAGTGAGATGGTGAAGTGTTTCTGAACTGTTTCTCTGATGTTCCTGTGTGTGTTTCAGTATCTGTTCGTGTTGTTTCTGAATCGAGAAGCGTGCTTCAAACTGCTGCAGTCGCTCTGTACACAGCTGCAGGTTTGTGCTTCGTTTGTGCTCCAAGAGTCAAGCTACTACCAATAATCATTCAATTCCAGTAGTAACGTCAGTAGTTTAGTGACTGAACTGAGGTTTCCCCTCAATCTGGTGATGGTGTGTCAATGCAAATGCTTAGAAGTCTCAAAGATTGCGTCTTTAAGTGTGTGTTCATCAATGTAAAGCGAGATGTGTTGTGTTTTCTGTCAGATGGAGAGCAGCAGCTGGAAATCCTCCACTCCTGATGTGGAGATCGACACGGTAAGATCACTGCACGTTGTTGTTTCACATGTTTATCATTCAATAGTTTCACATAAAATGCAGATTGAAGACTGTAAATGAATTGTTATTGTGTTGCAGCAGAAACACGAAGCAGCTCAACGCCACACGATGACCCCAGCAGAGAGATCAGCACGCCGGAGCAACACAGCACAGGTGAGCATCTGTACCTCATAACCTTATTGAAGACCACAAAACTTTCTATTCACGTTAACGTTTGTTCATAACTTTTTGAGAATCTGTTTGATTCCGCTAGTGTTCTCTGATCTATAGCGGTCTCCTGGGTAACCGTGGTAACAGAGAAGGTCAGCTCCGTTCTGTCATCCAATGAGACGCGGAGCCTGAACAAACTCCTGCTCTTCTACGTGATCCTGTGAGTATGAGACGATATCAGAACCTCCGAAGCGCTTCTTTCAGCCGAAACATTCAAACAGGATGAAATCAAGCGATCAAAGGCCAGAACTCTGGGTTCTGCTGCGGCTGAAGTTTCCTGTTTGGCTTCAAAACTCAGTCTCGGCACATTAAAGCGACTGTGAGACGAAAGCAAATGACATTAGTAAAACACATAATGAATTGCAGCCGTTTGCTGTTTGAGCAACAGATACTCCAGGGGTTTGAAAAATGAAGTAAAGCGAATTAAAGATGCGGCGCTTGTGCAAATATCAGACGATTAATGAGTTTCAGCAGCTCGGAAACACACTGATGTTCAGAGACGCTCGTGTCAGATCCTGCTTAGAGGAAGAGTTCAGCCAGAAATGAGAATGTGCTGAAAATGTGTTCACCATCAGATCATCCCAGATTAAGTTTGTTTCTTCATCAGGTTTGGAGAAATGTAGCACTGCATCAGTGTCTCAGCAATGGATGCTCTGCAGTGAATGGGTGCCGTCAGAATGAGAGTCCAAACAGCTGATAAAAACATCACAATAATCCACAAGTAATCCACAGCACTCCAGTCCATCAGTTAACATCTGGAGAAGACAAAAGCTGAAACTAATCCAGCATTAAGATGTTTTTAACTAAAATACCATAGAGTCCATAATCCATAATAACTCTTCCTTCAGTGAAAAAGTGTTCTGGTGTGAATCAGGAGAGAAATCTGCACAGATCAAGCAGCGTTTAAATAGCTCTAAACATATATCTATGGTATTTGAGTTAAAAGCGTCTTAATGCTGGATTAGTTTCAGCTTTTGTCTTCTCCAGATCTTAACTGATGGACTGGAGTGCTGTGGATTACTTGTGGATTATTGTGATGTTTTTATCAGCTGTTTGGACTCTCATTCTGACGGCACCCATTCACTGCAGCACATGTTAACTATTGCTTTAAAGAAAATGAAATGAACAGCTGATGGGAGATCTCGTGAGCGCTCACTGAGACGCAGCTGGTATGCAGTTGATCAGGAAAGTGAATGTTATGATCTGATGATGTTCAGAGCGCTGGAGGCTGATGGTCACACAGATAGATCTGAACACAACAATCAGTGTCACATAGCACAGTTCTCTGTCCTGTAACCAGCCGAGGTGTGATCAATCAGAATCTGATCTGACGGCATGTTTGAGCATCGTGTGCGTTCAGATAAACATCTGATAAATCTGATGTGTTTATGTCTCTGTGCTGTTAAAGGCTGAATTGTGTTGTTTTCTGGTTGTTTATGTGTAGTGCGATTCTTCTCCTGTTGTCGTCTGGTTACATCGGTTTGCGGATCATGGCGCTGGAGCAGAAGCTGAGCATTCTGGGATCGATGCTGGAGTTCACAATGCAGACAGAGTGAGTTCACACATTCATCATCTGAATAATAGCTTTACATTAATCAAAACTATACAGCAGTGAGTTCCAGTAATCTGATTGGTCAGTCAGTCACTCGCTCCAGAGTGGGTTTCTCTCTCTAGTGAGTGTAAAACCCGGAGCAGAACAATTCAATAGTCATCAATGCATCCATACGTAAGCTATATTAACCCTAACATCTCGTGAAGTCTTAAACACAATCCATTTTTCCTAGTATTGCAAAATTTATATAGCGCTTTTAACAATACAGATTGTGTCAAAGCAACTGAACAGCATTAATTAGGAAAATAGTGTGTCAATAATGCAAAATGACAATAGTAAAGACTAATTTTTCAGTTAAAGGCAGTTCATCATTGAATTCAGTGATGGCATCATCCAGCTCAGTTCAGTTTAAATAGTATCTTTGCAATCAAATCAACGATATCGCTGGAAATGAAGTGTACCCAACTAAGCAAGCCAGAGGCGACAGCGGCAAGGAAACAAAACTCCATCGGTGACAGAATGGAGAAAAAACCTTGGGAGAAACCAAGCTCAGTCGGGGGGCCAGTTCTCCTCTGACCAGACCAAACCAGCAGTTCAATTTCAGGCTGCAGCAAAGTCACATTGTGCAGAGGAATCATCTGGTTCCTGTGGTCTTGTCCCGGTGGTCATCTGAGACAAGGTCTTTACAGGGGAATAACATCTGTATCTGGGGCTCATCTAGTTGTCCTGGTCTCCGCTGTCTTTCAGGGCTGTAGAGGTCCTCTCTAGGTACTGATCCACCATCTGGGCTGAATATGTACTGGATCCGGGTGACTGCAGTGACCATCTGATCTGGATACAGACTGGATCTGGTGGCAACGGTGACCTCGGAATAAGAGAGAAACAGACTAATATTAGCGTAGATGCCATTCTTCTAACGATGTAGCAAGTACATCGGGTGTTATGGGAAGTGTTCCCGGTTCCGGTTGACCTAATTAATGCAGCCTAAAAATCCTTTAACGGATTTGAATATTAGAAGCGTATTAGTGTGTTATGTGTGTGTGTGTGTGTGTGTGTGTGTGTGTGTGAGTGTGTGTGTGTGTGTGTGTGTGAAAGGTGTTTCTCCTGGACTAAATCATCTTGCTCTTCCTCAGGAACCAGGAAGCGTAAGAACAGCGAGAGTCCTGGAGATTCGTGAGAATCGTTCAGACTGAGCTTCAGACACACAGACTCTGAATCAGTCGAAGCTGTGAGAGAATCGAGCCGCAAACACAGACATTAATGCTGTTCAGATGGAGACTGTGTGAATCAGAGACCTGCGGCTCATCCTGACCTCACTGACCTAATCTTTTATTTATGCTATATATCATATACTTCATCCTGTACTATCAAACTAAGACCAGATGGCTTCAGTTTCACACTGAGCTCAATGTTCAGATTATAAACGCTGGTGTTTCTGATCTGTCTTCAAGGATTTCTGCTACAAAAGGTCTTGCCTTGCTTTGTCTGGTTACACTATTAGATCTGAGATGTTTATAGTGTTTTATATAATATTAATGTTGCTATTATGAATTTTATTTGTTATAATAATTATAATTGTGAATATTTATTTTGAGACATGTAAAAACAATAAAGTATATTTCTGATGAGTGTGTGTGAACAGAACTGGATCTGTGTTGAAGTGCGTTTCTTCAGGGCTGATGTTAAGATGATGATGAAGTGGTCTGTCTAACATCTAAATTAACATCTAAATTAACTATCTAACCCAGCAGAACAGCCGTCAGGTGAGACTGAGCAGCACAAACCATCAAAATATAACATTTCACAACAGCAGCATCATCAGATTCAGCAGCAGCAGTGATTACAGACAATCACATGTTTCTGTATCATCTATATGCTCATGAATATAAATATAAATGTGTTTATGAAGATAAACAATAATCTAACATAACCTCTAAAGATAGATAGATAGATGATAGATAGATATTACCATGCTTCCACCTTTTTTGCAAACATTATGGTAATGTTACTTTTCTCTGAACGTTCTGAAACAAATTGTTCCACGTAACATTTAAAAAATATTAGATGAACGTTATGTTATATTATTAGATGAATATTAGATATTAGATGAATCATGTAGGCCGTGGTTCTTTGGACATGCACCGTCGAGGACAGTGTTACTTTTAAAAGTAATGCATTACAATAGTGCGTTACTCCTTAAAAAAATTAACTAATTGCATTACTTAGTTACTTTTTATGAAAAGTAATGCATTACTTTACTTTTGCGTTACTTGCTGTCACATGAACTGGGCTTGCTTTTTTTTTTTTAATAACAATAAAAAAGTTATATTTTTGGCACAATAAAGGCCCTTTCACACCAAAAGTGAACTGAATGAGCCTCAGACTGAAGGAAGAGTCTGTCTCTGCACTCACTGCTGATTTCTCTCAGTGTGGAGACAGGAGAGCTGTCAGTCAATACATGAGAACTTGCGTTACTTATTTGCAAAAGTAACTTTTTTATTGTAAATATCAAGTACTGAGTTACTAGAAAAAAGTAATCTGATTACGTACTCGCGTAACTTGTGTTGCGTTACCCCAGTAATAATCGAGTATTAGCTGCGGTGCCGCAGGCGGCCGGCAGGTGGCGACAGAGCGCTGCGGTCTAATCCTCCATCCACTCCTCAAACTCCAGAAGAAGCAGCTGCTTCACAACACTCAGCGCGATGGAGGCCAGTGATGCAGGTAAAAGCCTGCACACATTAAAATATCATCATAAACACTGCACTCTCTCACATGTTTGCGTGTCTGTGACTCCTTCTTTCACTCTGTTTGTTGAGGTGATGTTCGCTTGGACTGTTTTGGTCGATTAGCCGCTTCAGCTAAACCTCACGAACCATCAAAACACTCTCTATATATCGAAAATATAACTCGATATCAGAGCAGCTTCATATTCTGTGTTTCATGATCGATATACATTTACTTTAAATGCTAGTCAGGTCATTTTATCGTCTTCATGTTGTAGATTCTTAACCTTGCAGCTGACATGCGAATAAAGCTGAACTAAAGTGAATCTGAAACTGAATTTATTAATTAATGATATAAATATGAGAATTAATCGCGTAGAAATCACATTTCTCCCCCAAGTCTAATAAAATAATGTGACTAAATTAGGCTTTTTATAATTTATATTGTTGACGTGTTTCGTGAGAAGCAGAGTGTGTATTTGTGTATTTGTGTGAGAGAGAGAGAGTGTGTGTGTGTGTGTGTATTTGTGCGTGTGAGAGAGAGAGTGTGTGTGTGTGTGTGTATTTGTGCTTGTGAGAGAGAGAGTGTGTGTGTGTGTGTATTTGTGTGAGAGAGAGAGTGTGTGTGTGTGTGTGTATTTGTGCTTGTGAGAGAGAGAGAGAGTGTGTGTGTGTGTGTGTGTATCTGTGCTTGTGAGAGAGAGAGAGAGTGTGTGTGTGTGTGTGTGTATCTGTGCTTGTGAGAGAGAGTGTGTGTGTGTGTGTCTCTGTGTGTGTGAGAGAGAGAGAGAGTGTGTGTGTGTGTGTGTATTTGTGCTTGTGAGAGAGAGAGAGAGTGTATTTGAGAGAGAGAGTGTGTGTGTGTGTGTGTGTGTGTGTATTTGTGCTTGTGAGAGAGAGTGTGTGTGTGTGTATTTGTGCTTGTGAGAGAGAATTATCAAGACCACTATCTAGTTAATTCGTTGTATGTGTCGTCGTCACTAGTTAAAAGTGTTCCTGAATCGTCCCAGCCTTCTGTTTCAGTCTGGTGTCTCTGTGAGAGTCTGTTGAGGGTTTGGAGAAGTCTGAGATAAAGCAGCGGTGTGTGTGTTTCAGGTCGAGCCGGCTGGAAGACTCCTCAGAAGAGTAAGATGACTGTGATCATGAGACAGGAGGAGCTGATCGCGCAGAAGAAGAGAGAGATCGAGGCCAGACTGAACCAGCAGCAGAAGCAGCAGCCGAAGCAGAACAAAACCAGCAGGTGACTCATCAGGTCTGCTCATCAGCACAGCACACCAGACCTGATCTGTGTGTGTTTATCAGTGTGTGTGTGTGTGTCAGTCCCCCCCCCTCACAGGCGTCTTCATCCTCATCATCCTCCTCATCTAATAAGTTTGTGAATGACGGCAGTTTCCTGCAGCAGTTTCTGAAGATGCAGCGAGAGAAATCCAGCGCTGATGAAGGTGAGACGCTTGTTTCTCACACATGTTCATGAATCACACAGAGTCGTTTCTATATTAGAAGTGTAACGGTGCACAAACATGACGTCACGGTTTGGGATAGTTTCGGTACAGCGGGGAAGAAACTAGGGCTGTCAAAAATTTTTTCGAATATTCGGCGAATTAAAAAAAAAAAAAATCCACATTTGAATTTTAGGTCAGCGTCAGGCAGCTTATCAGCGGCGCACGAGATGCGATGACCATGCTTTTGTTAGCCTATCCAGCGGCACTGCTACGTTGTTCATTCATATATTGCAGAAAACGAGAGCATCGCCATTTTTTTCAAAGATAGTCGTGTTGTTTTATTACGCTTTGAAGAAACGTGCATGATATTTAGCTCGATGCGCCCTCTTGTGGCCTCAGGAGAGAAGCCAAAAGCTGAAACTGAAATTATGCCTTTTAAATTAGAATATAATTAGAATTTTGATCATATTTAAGTAGAAAATTCGAATTTAGTTTTTCAGTCATTTTGACAGCCCTGGAAGAAACTAAACACAAAATTGCTTTTTTTATTAAACAGTTAAAATTTTTAAAAAAAATAGCTCTTTCTTTAAATAATTCAAATCAATTATAATTTAAATCTACCTCAGCTTATGCTCTAAACTCTTTTACATTAGGCCTACTATAAGGTTACAAACTTAAATCCAGTTACTATGTATTTTAAAATGTAATAATCAACATTATGCAAACATGTAAATTGTTTTTAAATTAACTTCTACATTATTAAATTTCTGTTTGTTGTTGAAATATATGCAGTGGCTGTTGTAACTTGTTTCATCACAGATTTATTTAAACATAAGACATTAAGACATCACTAACAGGTAAATATAATGATTATAAAGTCTAATATTTCACGAAATGCTCTTCTCCGCACTTAATTTCTGGAGCTGTGGGCACTGAAGACTGTCTGAGGGAAGTTAAATGCTACGTGACGTTTTGTTTACAAGCTGTTTCATTGCCGTCTTTCCGCGGTCGAAACGCTGATTGAGCGATTACACGAGGCGTGAGATGTTCATTCATGTTTATTTCGTGTTAAATCTATCAGTAACGAGGAAGAGATGAGGCGTTTATACAGCGATCTGTCGCGCCGCATTTATACTTTGAATTTCCTGAATAAAAAGGACATCATTTGAAAGATGAGACTTTGTTTCTTATCAAAAGTTACAGTATATAAAACTGGAAGTTTCCAATGAACGCTGTATTTGTTCAGGACACATGCGCACCGAACCGAAAGACCTGTGCTGAAAATTTTCGGTACAAATACATGTACCGTTACACCCCTAATATATATGTGACTCTGGAGCACAAAACCAGTCATAAGGGTCGATTTTTAGAAATTGAGATGTATACATCAACTGAAAGCTGAATAAATAAGCTTTCCATTGATGTATGGTTTGTTAGGATAGGACAATATTTGGCTGAGATACAACTATTTGAAAATCTGGAATCTGAGGGTGCAAAAAAATCTAAATATTGAGAAAATCATCTTTAAAGTTGTTCAAATGAAGTTCTTAGCAATGCATATTACTAATCAAAAATTAAGTTTTGATATATTTACGGTAGGAAACTTACAAAATATCTTCATGGAACATGATCTTTACTTAATATCCTAATGATTTTTGGCATAAAAGAAAAATCTATAATTTTGACCCATACAATGTATTGTTGGCTATTGCTACAAATATACCCCAGCGACTTACTGCTTTTGTGCTGCAGGGTCACATATATGCTTTTCCACGATATCTGCACTATTGCACATGAGATACTCATTTTACAGTTCAGTAAACAAGAAGTTAATAATGTCACGTTTTAGACAATTTCACCAATGAGAATCTCTCTAAAGAAAGAGCTGGGTCTGCAACATGATGGTCGTTGAACAAACTCAGGGTTACAGGATTAGTTACTAGTTGAGTTAACTAAACCAAACCCCTCCAGTCCTCAGCTTTCTCTCTCAGCTCTGGCTTTGATCCATATGAATGTGTGACATCAGAGGCGAACAGCCAATCACACGCCGTACAACACAGAGAAACATTGTAGCTCAGCTGGATTGTGTTGACATGCTTTCTCTCTGATATTAATGAAACTCATGTGCGTCCAACTAAACACGATCGTTCTGGCGTGATTTAAAAGCACCATGTGATCTGCTCTGTTGGGAGCGTCACGGAGCTCTTGTAACGTTGCGTGTGCTGATGTCATTTCCTGCAGCATCGCGCGGCTCCGCCCCCAGCGGATCTCAAGCTCAGAAGAAGAGCGTTCTGATCGGCAAGCGTCAGGGTCTGAGCGTCACCAGCATGATCAGTCAGTTCAGAAACTACTCTCAGTGCAAGAAGACGACGCTGCCTGCGGCCCGACTCAGTGTGTTCAGCTCCCCCGATGATGAAGAGGAGGAAGAGGAGGATGCACTCTTTCTGGAGGTCAAAGGTATCACACTCTGCCTCATTTTGACCAGGGAACAGTCATCTAAAGGCCTGTTGAGCAGCATTCTTCCTCTGGTTGAGCTACCATGACTAACTAAAGGACTGTCTCACCCATCAGTCTCTTGACAAAAGAAGACGTTCAGCAGCATGTCCTCGCTGCTCTTGTGCATATGAGGGATGTGGATGGTTACTGATGCTCCAAAAATCCCCATAAATATTCATAATCCACATGACTCGTGCATTACTACCTCCTGAAGTCGTTTCATTTCGTTTATTAAGTCGTCATGAAATCATAATGCATTTTCTAGATCTAAACAATTCATTTTTGGAGCTCGTAATGTTTAATCGAATCTCTCTGGTGTGACGTATGCAGGATTTCTCCATTTATGTCCTGCAGCTCACGCTCATCTGCATACTCGTTTGAGAGCCACGCCCCCCACATCTCAACATCCAATCAACAGCTGATACACAAAGCCAAGTCCCGCCCTACGTTTATCCTTTTTTGATAATTTGTTCACTCAAATGTACGTCATAATACAGAAGAAAAGATCAGTTTCATGACTTTGAGTCCTAGAAGTAGAATTTGAGCAAACACACATTCAAATCTGACATGTGAAAGTAAAACTATTTCTAAAGTATTACTGGTCTAATGATGAAACTTGAGAATAATTTCCCCTGATAATATTTCAGCGCTCACGTCACGTTTGTTTCCTATTGGCTGTTAGAATGCGACGCCAGATTGGCAAATGATTCACTCTTCTGATCAAACCGGTTTGCGATTCAGTTTGATTCATTTGGACAGTTCACTGAATCATTTGCAGCCAGTGTCTCAAACCTTAACAAGATACTTTAATAACCAGAAAACAATGAAAGCTCACTCAGAAATGGCAAGTAACGCATTGAATTGAACGTGAAATTTTGAAATAAAAAGACTGAAATTGTATTTTCTTGTAAAACACTGCAATAATCTTTATTTGCAACTTTTTTTAAAGTGTGCAGTCCATTGTAGTGTAAGAAACGTACTTGTGCACTGAAGCAGTGAGTCTGTACTTCAGTATATACATAACAGCATCAAAACACTCAGAATCTGGTGGTTGTCTCCAGTGCTGATGGAAGTCTAGAAAGGCTCCAGGGTTAATAAGCACTTGCTGCTGGTCATGTGACTGTGTGTCGGTCAGATGATCAGATCGCAGGACAGACATGCGCTGTGTTCAGTGTTTGCGTTATGCTGGCGTTCTCATAGCCTGCTTAAAGTTTCCCCCCCAGAGGACGCAGACCTGCGGCTCGTCATCGATAAGATGGCCTCGTTTGTCGCCGAAGGCGGTGCTGAGCTGGAGAAGAAGGCCATGGAGGACTACAGAGACGATCCTGTGTTCTCGTGAGTTTCTCATCCCGTTCTTGTCTGGTACGTTGATCTGGGGATCAGTCCAGATGTTTCAGCACTCAGTCTCCTGCGCAGGTTCTTGTTTGAGAAGAGCAGTAAGGAGTATCTGTACTACAGGAGGAGAGTGGCGGAGATCAGACGAGACGCGGCAGCTCAGGCCGAAGGTGAGCGCTCAGAAACACACAGCTAGTCTAAATGTTACTGGATTTGACCTGATGGTTGTGAGACGGAGAGAGAGTCACACATTCACAAACCAGACAATATCTCGGACTCTTGAAGAGTTAGGAGTCCGTCTGAACCCTCGCTCTCGTGTTTGAAGCGTTCATGAATCCGCTGGTGCTTCGGGAGCTGTTATTTGTCACATACTTCTAGTCAAAAGCTTGGAATTAATAAGATTTTGTATATTTTTAAAAGAGTCTCTTCTGTTCATTAAGGCTGCATTTATTTGATCAAATTTGCAGTAAAAACCGTGAAATATTATTCTAATTTAAAACAGCTGCTCTCTATGTGAATATCTGTTAAACTGTAATGTATTTCTGTGATGCGCAGCTGTATTTTCAGCATCATTACTCCAGTCTTCAGTGTCACATGATCTTCAGAAATCATTCTAATATACTGAAAAAAAGAGAAATTAATGCTTTTATTCATCAAGGATGCATTCAATTGATCAAAAGTGCCAGTAAAGACTTATGTGACAAAAGATTTGTTTCAAATAAATGCTGTTCTTTTCAACTTTCTATTCATCTGTGAATCCTGAAATAAATAAATAAAACGTATCATAGTTTCCGCAAAAATATGAACTGTTTTCAACATTGATAATAATCAGAAATGATTCTGGTAAACTTTAGACTGGTATGTCTTGCGATGTAATGTAGTGAAATGTCCAATGAATTAAGGAGATACACACACATAATAAAAATATAATATAATATACTATCAAGATGTGAATAAAAAACAATATAGTAGAGTTTTTTATTAAAGGGGTCATATGATGCGATTTCAAGTTTTCCTTTCTCTTT